GGGACCTCTAAAAACCAGATCCAGAAAAATAAGAGTTGAAATATCAAAAATCATTAAACGAACTCTGTTGGGTATTAGTGAAGTCCAGAATATACGTAATTTGTAACCGATTATTATTAATATGACAACTAAATCCTTTAGGATTCGCATGAATTACGTTAGTGAAAAAGCCTAAGCCCATAATTTATAAAACCATAAAATATGGACCCTCGGTCGAACCCTGGCGGTCGGCAAATGGTGAACAGGGGCGGTTTTAGATTATTCTATGACGAATTTCACCGAAGGTCATCTGTAAAAATATTAAATTGTTTTTGTTTGTAAGGCGGTAATCAACATGATGAAACTATATATTAGTCGATTGACTGACGACCAACCCTGCAATTTACAATTTTTAATTACTGTTTAAATTTAAAATTCGTCCTTATAAACAAACATTTTCCGATACCCTGGATGGTCAAAAGGTGAGAATTTTGAGTCTATAAAAATGAGTTTTAAATTCTTCTTTTTTTCTATCAAGAGTTTATCTATTCCTTAAATAATTTTGGAATTTGGAACTAAATTGTTGTCACTTCAACCATCTGTTAGTTCGTAGAATAAATGTGTTGGATAACAGTAATTAACCGCTTATCAGTGTGAGTGTACTGTGTGTCTGATTATATGTATGATATAATTTTTTTTTAGTTTCCTCATTAGCTTTTGGCAAAAACTTCGAATTTGTACGCGTGATTCAGGTTCGTTAAAAGCAATAATTAATTGTGGGATTTTTCGTAATAGGTACGAATTAATTACGTGATTGTTAAATAAATCTGCTGATAAGAATTTTATTTCTTACTTCACGCCACAAAATTTGTTTCTCTACGAAACGTTAAATTTTCAATCATATTTTACACACCCGTACGCTGTTCCTTTTTATATTTGAACAATTCGATGAAAGGCGTCTTTACAATTTTGTGTTCCACAGTTCAGTGTTCAGTTGAAAAATCTTGAGTGTAGTTTCTGAAATGGTTTTGTAGATTAATGATTAAGTGGGGTGATTATGATCATTGATCCTAATGCGTGGAATTCATCACAAATGTTGTCATCCAATGTATGTACAAAAAAAAACAATCACTGATACTAGGACTAACTCTGCCTTTCATAACTGTTCATAAATTCATCCCATTACTTCTGAAAGGCAGGCAAACTTTAAATTGATCATGAAACTGGCCCTAAGCAGCTTTTGCCGCTATACTTTTATGATTTATTATGTCACATTCGTTCCATTTTGGACTAGATTCCTACAAAGCCTACTTCCACTACCAAACACCGAACTGCTCCGTCTGTTCGCAAGAAAAAACCCTCGCTTTCGCAATCATCGAAAGAAAATCGGGTCAACGAGTCGTCGGTGGCAGTGCACTGCCGCTGGAACAGTTATCTTACGAAACCAATGCCTCGAGGATACCTCTTCGCTGATATTCGAACCGAAGCCAAATCGATAGCATCCCCTGCGTCATGAACTTCGAATTTTCAACGCGAAACCGCCAAACCTTGACCGAAAGATTTTCCTGCGGAAAAGCATTATCGCTGACGTCACAACTCTTCCATTAAAAACGAATTAGCGGAGAACGTCTCCTACAGTTCTATTTCCGAATTTTACGATCCGGTCGAGCTCGTGTGCGTTTATTGCTTGAATTATCCTTATCGAATCAGATAAGGAATAAGTTCGCTTGTTGCTCTCCTCGCTGCACAACTTTTCCATATAAGGATATACGGATTCTCCAGTGTGTCGTGTCGGCGAGAGAAAGCATGTCGGCTTTTTAAAAAAGTCACGGTATTGAAACGAAGCGTTTGAGGAGGTTTTTGAGGTTAGAGATAGAGGTGATTGCATTGGTCGACGGGGTTTTTGTAACGGTGATGATGTTGGGGTTTTATTACAACTAAACGTGAATTAAAAAAAAAAATAGTCATAGACAATATTGCGTTGTATCGTTCTGTATTTATTTGTCTTTTTTCAGCTAATTTGCACATCCTGTGTCAAAAGTGAATGGTTCTTTAATAAAATAACAATCACTGATTATGTTCATAATTTTTAGTTAAAGTTTTTTGCCGGTCAGTTTTGAAAATGCAAAAATTGCTTTTAATTTCATGCCCGATTTCCGGAAACCATTACCCAACGAAAAAACAATTCACTTCAATTATACAAAATCGGCTATTCTCAAAATTATTCGATTAGTATTAGTGTATGTGTGTCATTTTTTAATTTACAGAGGCACGAGATAACGAGAAAATGTGAATCACGGAGGTTTTTGTGGATTTATTTATCAGCGGTTTCTAGAAGCGCCATAATCTTGTCATCATTCATATTGATGCAACGTTGAATTTTCCACGCTGCAATACTGGGAGCTATCTTGTGTTATCAACGTTATCAGTTTAATTTTTCGGGTTATTGTTAATAGTAAAGACGCTGGGGCGGTAAATTAATTACGTGTGATAAATGATAAAACAATGCACTGGGATTCGTGAAAAATCCCTATGTAATTATTTTGTTTTCGCGTGTAGCTTTTTGTGTGTGGTTAAGATTGATGAACAGAAAACTAAACATAGCAAAATTAAGTTCGTAACATAGTCAACATAATCGATCGTACAAGGTGAAGCTAAATAGGTGGTTAAATGTGTGTTCAATAAAAACACTATGGGAGGGTTACAGAGGGGAGGAATAAACGTCACTTAAAAAAAATAGAGCTTTTTTAATGACTGCCGTCTAGCGGGAAGTATCAGTTGGAAGATTTAAATGAAATATTTTATGGATGTCGGATTCATTTCAGTTGAAGCGCCTCACATAGATGAAATTTATTGTTCTTGTTTAATTAATTTTGTAGAAGACTTAAACTGTCACAACAGATAATTAATATTTGTTTTAAAATCTGTTTCGATTTGAGTCTTTAAAACTGTAACCATTATTTTGCCTATTCTCTTGCAACAATACGTTCATTAAACGTTTTCTATGTGCTAAAAAAGAAGCAACAAAGGATCGATCTCGTCGGGTCAAGTTTGATCTTAGACGGCTGTTATAAACAATTATTTATTATTTAATTATTTACAGTTTCTTGACACGCCAATTAACAACGTTGCCTACAATGATTCATTATAATAATAACAATTTATAAATAGAAGAAAATATCCTGGATGTTTGCTTCCTTGTTATTTTATTTTGTGCAAAAAAATTGTCTGCATTGTTTTAAGTTTTTACATTTTCGCTTACTACATTATTGTTTCTATTGAAAACTCATTTGTGATGATGCATCTAATTTTCTCACTATTGTTGCAAAAATTAAACGATTAGAGCTGAGTTAAAAAAGTAAAAAATTTACATAATGTAAAGGCTCAAAATTTAAAAATATCAAAAAAAGTGTGTGTATTACGTTTCCATTGGTGTTGGTTTCCAATTTGATCGTTACATATGCGTTGCATTAGTTACTCGAACAATTCTCGTTGAAATATTCACCACTTTGTGACCTCTCACCTAAAGCCCATCAAAACCTCTTCCTATTATTTCCACACAACGTTATACCCGCGCATACAAGGCGAAACCTCATAAATCTGCAAAATTGTATTCACGTCTTCTTATTACAGTATCATTTACCACTCAGTATTTCTTCACACCTCTGTATAATCAAGCACTGTTGTAATTGTTCCTCCAGCACTTCATCCGTAACCATTCAGGGGTCATTACTGCTGTCAATTATAAAATCTGAAAGTTAATTGAATATACACGGAACTATTTCGTAACACTGCAACAAAAAAAACAAGCAAAAATGACTATTGCTTTACTTGATTCCGCTGAAAAAGGAAACATTAAGTTATGCCATAAAATAAAATATTTATGACTGTGAAATAATTATGTAGACTTTTGTAACTGTATATTTTGGCAGAGTCGGTGAAACTTTTTGCTTAATTCAGTTAGCGCAATTTAGATTATCGCCTGTCCTTGTAAATTGTACTTCCCGTTAAGTGTTTAACTTTTTTAGAACGTTTATGTGTACAATAACTTATTATAATGAGACGCGTAAGTGTAATCCGTTAGACGGGATTTATTTGGGGCGCAAACAGACGACTTTGCACAATACCGATAATTTTAACTGTTATTGGATGTGTAAAGGCCGCCGTACGATGTGCGAATTTGTGCACATGCAATTCGAGGTCGAAAAATGCATTAAGCTGCGGCGTGGATGAGGGTTAGTAGGACGATAAGACTTTTTTGCAAAAATGTTATCACGCCAACAAATGGGAAATAGCTGTTATCTTCCAACCTTGAAATTTGCATCTTCATTTCCCAGAAGTCGCTCGAAACACGTGTCGTTTAAATGTTTATTAAACTTTTACATCTAATGTAAACGTAGTACGCCAGATCCTTCGAATTTCTAGCGTTCATCTGTAGCGAGGTATTAAGTAGATTTACGTGTAGCTGTCAAAACAGACTATTTTTTAGAAATTGTGAGGTCGATACGCTGTGTGCAGCGCAGCGCAACGGAACAGGATCACGCTCAATTAAAAATATTGAGATGAGTCTAGCGTTGATTTTCAGGGTTGTCTCCACCCCAATAACAATGTGTAATTTTAATTTATCTAAAGAGTTACTAGCTTTTTCAACTCGTTGAATTAGCTTGTATTGTAAAGGAAACGCTGCGGTTGTGTCTTCCGGATGAAACGCGAGCTTCAGTCACCGGCCATGACTCGTAATCATTTATCATGTTATTAAATATATTTATTTTGTGAAAATAAACAAATCGTTCAACTCGATTGCTAGAATAATTAATATGTTAATTATTATGGCAATATGTTGAATAATAATGGTCGACTGTAGACTTGCATCACTAATTTGTTAAGTGGAAAACTCAAAAGTAAGTGGTAAAAATCGCAAAAATGACTCCTGTGTAGCGACAGTTCTTGGAAAATGACAATTTTACTGTAAAAACCCGATTTCAACTTTGTCTCCATCACTAACTAATTTTTTTTTTCAGGACGAATCAACCGGAGCGCAAGATGACAACATGGACACGAATCGGAACCCGAAAAGGTATTTATTTATCTTAAAACCGATCACGTTGCTGTTTTATCTCCGACCCGAAATGTTGACAAAAAATCCGGAAGGTGTTGAGGTTTCCGGAGAAATGACTACGTCGTATGTTTTCATTATGATTACAGTTACGGACACGTGTTCCGGATTCGTACAGACAAAAGAAGTAGGTCGCGATTTTCGCACCGAGTAACGACTTGCCGAAAACTACGTAATAAATATTATAACATTGTGGTTGGGTGCGTGTCAGACCGTACTCTCCCTGCTGGCCTTGCTTCAACACTCGTTTCACAATATTCGGGCTTGCGTTAATTATTATTTAGTGATACTCGCAGCGGATTGCGCAAAATGAGCATCGTGGAAGAGTTGAAGGTGGAAGCGACAAAGCGTATTACACCGGGCATAGTTTGTTCGGTCTTCAACTTGTCGCCTTATCCTATTTATTCTCTGTATTTTTTAAGAACAGGTGTGCACAAAAATATCGTGATAGAATTTTCAGGGTCATGCAAACAGTCACCAGGTATGGTGCGCGCCGCCAGACAGTCTAACCAAGTGAGACAATTCTTCCAGGAAAATGAACTCTATAATAACATAAAACTTCGACCTTGATTCAACTATGTAGACTTTGAGATGTCCCCACGATTACAAAACAAGCGTTCTATTCCTAAACGCAGCGCCACTCACACTCAATTTAACACCAATAAAAAGACCAACCCCTTTATTACGAAAAAGGCTTTGATTATATCCAGACCTCGTTTTTGTGTTGCAATTTTTCAACCTTTCCACTCGGATCTCCCGATAATGTCACAGGGTGAACGAACATGGTTCTCGAAATCAGACCAGATAATAATAGCCTTTGTAAGCATAATGTGCCAACAGAGCTTACCAAGTGCTTTGGTCGCCACCCACCGCAACTAAAGAAGTTTTTGACCTCTCCCCTATTAACTTTATCACGGGAGAGGAAACTTCAAGGACGACTTTATCACTCGATCTAGTGGCATGATGCGTCCACAAATGTCAAAAGCGTCTTCACGGATGGCTTGGGGCTAACCGCGACCGTAGTGACTCATGTGGAAGTTGCCATTGCGTTATCAGTAGCAAAAGTATGCGTTTATCGTCACTAGCAATGTCACCGTGTTGTTCGGACGATAACACCACCTACAGAAATCCTACGAAACCATTACTCCGTCGATTTAGGCATAATGTTTCTTTTCATGGAGTGTTAATGAGCCGTAGAAGGCCATTTTTAATTTCGATCTCGATTAAATCCCCGCCGCGTTGGCGTTTTAATGTGAGCTTCGCAACCAAAAGCGTTCTCGATGGAAATTGTCAAACGAATCCATTCTTGGTGAAATCGACGAAATAATTGCTCGCGGTACATGACAAATCTTTTTTTTTTTTTCTCGTTCTCGCTCAGAAGTTAATTGTCACGGTGTTCCTTCTATCGTGTCGATGAAGTAATCGATTAAGAAACCGTAACATGAAGCTTGGCCCACATCCTAAATTATATAAGATTGGAGGTATAACGTGTGGCTGACACGAGTTTAATTAGAATTGGTAGGATTTGGCCTTACATGGTGTAATTACCGCGAAGAGCAAGTGGCATATCACGCGAAGATGTCCTTGGGGTTGTGTGTCGGCTGGAAGAACCTTGAAGAGGGTATTAATTTTCTGTGGGGACCGAAAGGCATAAAATATCAGTTGCATGGAGCAGAGGCGAAACCGCGAGATCGAGTTGCGAAAAAAGGTCATTGTTGGTTTTCCTGCTTTAGTTATTTTGTGTGTTTGTCGAGGATATCGGATATGGGCTTTTCAGGACGAGAAAGAGGGTTTCTGTGGGGTGCCTTTGTTAAGAAATGACATTGATGCGTCATTAGTTGGAAAAAATTGTACGAGCTACAGTGTCAAGTTCAAATAATTGGTCTAAGTTGTTTAGACAGAACTTTCCTCGCCTCTGAAGTACATTTGAATCAGTACAGATTTTTCGAAAAATGATCTTGTCCTGTTTTGCCATCTTTTAGAATTGGGTCATTCTGTGCTTGTCTTTCTGTCTTTATTAAGGGTTTAAATCGGAGAACGTCCACGTTAAAAAGGGAATGCATTTGAATTTAGTGCAAATTCATTTGATTCAGGAGACTGAGGAGATTTTGATAATTTATTGTTAATAAAGTCATTTATTCTTTGTTTTACACACATTTTAGTTCGGACTTTGTAAGATAACAAGTTCATTAGAGTTCACTCTATCAAATTCTTTTCTGAAATCTGTATAAACCGCAACTATTTGTCGATAATGAGCATTTAAATAGGAAGAATAGCTATCCATGTTGATTTGCAGACAGAGTTATGAAATTTTGTAACAATTCGATCACTGATTAATGATTCAAAAACTTTACCTATAGTAGATTATGAACATATTGGCTGTAACAGGGGCGGCTCATAAGTTGAGAACTCGATGAGGCAAAGCACAAAATGCTCCAATATCTAAATCTCGAAAAAAAATATATTGTCCTATTTGCGTTTATAATTGACTTGGAAATTTTTTCGGAAAAAATGAGAGTTTAGAAACACTAAGCACGTCGAAAATGTATAATTTTTCTATGCCACACAATCTAATTCGTATTTGATTAATTTTAATATCAAGAATTTCGGAAAAAAATTGCCTTAATTTCTGTTTATCATTCATTTCGCTTCGTTTACAGTCTCAGAGGTAAAATATAAGTATCAAATTTTCCATAAATTCTGTTAAAAATGGTCACTGTGTCTAAATTCGCGTAATTTACCTGATGTAGTTTACAGCAAATTCCTGGCTCTGAGAATATGTTGAAAAATTAATGCGACAGTTTCTAGAAAAAGTACACTTTGTTACAGATTGTTTTCTATTCTTTCAGATTCTCTCAATATTTTTCAAGGTTCCCTTAGATTTCCTCAGAATTTTTCAGATCTTTACAAATCGGTTCAGGTCCTCTCAAATTTTTCAAGATCGCATTGGATCGTTTCAGGTCCCTGCAGACTGTTTCAGATTCTGCCAGTTTCTTTTTAGATTCTCTGAAATTCTTTCCTGACACCTCTGATTCTTTCTAATTCTTTCCGATTCTTAGTTTCATATTCCCTCAGATTTTCTTCTAGACTTTTTCAGATGTTTTTAGATTTTTTCTTTTTTTTTTTTTAATTCTTCCTTGAGGATTCTTTCGGATTTTTCCGGATGCTTTTGGATGATTTCGGATTGTTTCACATTCTTTCGCATTTTTCAGATTCTTTCAAAGACACCGTCAGGAATCTTCAAGGTCCTTTCAATTTTTCAAGTTCTATTCAGATCGTTTTAGAACCTTACAGATTTTTTCAGATCCCTGCAGACTCTTCTAAATTCTTCCAGATTTTTCTAGATTCTTCGGGATTCTCTCAGGTTCTCACAAGTTTCTTCAGATTCTCTCACATTCTTTCAGATTCTTTTTGAATCTCCCAATTTCTCCCAGATTCCTTCAAATTCGTTCATTTTCTTTCAGATTCTCTCTTTCAGATTCTTTCGATTTTTCTTTTATTCTTTCAGATTATTCCGGATGCTTCTAGATTGTTTCAGATTTTTTCAAATTCTTTCAAAGACACCGTCAGGAATCCTCACGATTCTTTCAAATTTTTGGGTTCTATTCAGGTCGTTTTAAAACCATACATATACTTTTAGATCCCTTTAGACTTTTCCAAATTCTTCTAGATTTTTCTAGATTCTTTGAGATTCTCTCAGGTTCCCACAGGTTTCCTCAGATTCCTTCAGATACTTTCCGAATCTCTCAGATTCCTCCAAATTCCTCCAGATTCCCCCAAATTCCTCCAGAATCGTTCCTTTTCTATCTGATTCTCTGGTGCAGATTTTGTCGATTTTTTTATTCTTTCCGATTATTCTGAATGCTTTTCGAATTTTGCGGATTGTTTCCAATTCTTTCAAAAATTTTCAGTTCTATTCAGATCATTTCAGACCCTTTCAGATCCCTGCAGATTCTTCCACTTTTTTTTTTTAATAGATTTTCTTAGATTTTTCTGTATTCGACGAAATTCTTCAAAATTCTCTCAGATTCCCCAATATTCTTTCAGATTCTCTCATATTCCTTTATATTTCTTCAAATTTTTTTCGAATCTCCCAGGTCGTTCTAAATTGTACAGATATTTCAGATCCCTGTGGACTTTGCCAAATTCTTTCAGATTTATCTAGATTGTTCCAGATTCTCTCAGGTTCTTACAGGTTTGCTCAGATTTCTTCAAATATTTTCGTAAGAAGATAAAGGGCGGGTGGGCGGGGCTAATTTTTGCCAAGATAAGACTGATTTTGCGAAATCATCTACTTTCAACGACAATAAAGGGCGAGTGGACGGGGTTAATACTAGCTAAGATAAAACTAATTTTGTTAAATGATCCACTCTCTAAGAGAAAAATTTGCCAAATGATATATGATGCAAGAAAATAAAGGGTGAGAGTGATTTTGCCAAATGATATAACTTCTAAGAAAATAAAGCCGCCCTCTATTTCCTTGGAAGGTATGTCATTTGCCAAAATCAGTCTTATCTTACAAATACGAGCCCCACGGTCCCACCCTTTATTCTCTTAAAAGGTATGGTTTTTGTCGAACTAGCCCCTCCCCTTTATTTTCTTAGAGGGTATATCATTTGCCAAAATAAGCATTATCTTTACAAACTAACATCACCCACCCGCCCTTAGGGTAAATGATATACTGTCTAAGAAAATAGAGGGCGGGTTGGCGGGGCTGATACTTGATAAGACTGATTTTGGCAAATGACATACTCTCTAAGAAAATAAAGTGTGGGTGGGTGGGGCTAGAACTTGATAAGATGAGACTGATTTTGGCAAATGACATACCTTCCAAGGAAATAGAGGGCGGGTGGGGGGGCTAGTACTTGATAAGATAAGACTGATTTTGGCAGATGACATATCTTCCAAAGAAATAGAGGGCGGGTGGGCGGGGCTAGTACTTGCCAAGATACGACTGATTT